TGTTGTCGTCGTCGTATCCCAGCTCCTTGTTGTCGTCGTCGTATCCCAGCTCCTTGTTGTTGTTGTCGTCGTATCCCAGCTCCTTGTTGTTGTCGTCGTCGTATCCCAGCTCCTTGTTGTTGTCGTCGTCGTATCCCAGCTCCTTGTTGTTGTCGTCGTCGTATCCCAGCTCCTTGTTGTTGTCTTCGTCGTATCCCAGCTCCTTGTTGTTGTCGTCGTCGTATCCCAGCTCCTTGTTGTTGTCGTCGTATCCCAGCTCCTTGTTGTCGTCGTCGTATCCCAGCTCCTTGTTGTCTTCGTCGTATCCCAGCTCCTTGTTGTCGTCGTCGTATCCCAGCTCCTTGTTGTTGTCGTCGTATCCCAGCTCGTTGTCGTCGTCGTCGTATCCCAGCTCGTTGTCGTCGTCGTCGTATCCCAGCTCCTTGTTGTCGTCGTCGTATCCCAGCTCCTTGTTGTTGTTGTCGTCGTCGTATCCCAGCTCCTTGTTGTTGTCGTCGTCGTATCCCAGCTCCTTGTTGTCGTCGTCGTATCCCAGCTCCTTGTCGTCCTCGTATCCCAGCTCCTTGTCGTCCTCGTATCCCAGCTCCTTGTCGTCCTCGTATCCCAGCTCCTTGTCTTCGTATCTCAGCTCCTTGTTGTCGTCGTATCCCAGCTCCTTGTTGTCCTCGTATCCCAGCTCCTTGTCGTCGTCGTATCCCAGCTCCTAGTCCTCGTATCCCAGCTCCTTGTCCTCATATTCCATCCAAGTGCTATATAGTGTCACTGGCTAAGTGTGTTCTCTCATATAAATTACCCTACCCCTAACCTGCCCTTACCTAAACTATCTCCTGCCCTCCCTTTAAGCGGCTCTTAAGTTACTGTATACTTTGGCAACCGGCCTCCTAGCGGGGCTCTTGGTTACCGCTGGCCTTACAGTTTGGTAATGTATTGTCAGTACAGGTTTGGCTTGGTTCGGATATTAGCATTGCAGTAACGTGTGGGGACCCGTATCCGGATATTAACGTGTAGAGCGTATCCGGATATTAACGTGTAGAGCGTATCCGGATAAACTGCCGTGTACGAGTGGGTCTGGTTTTTGTGTGTTTATTTACGTTCCCGTTTTCTGTAAATACAGTGCGGAGGAAGACTAATATAATTTAGTGGGATTGGTTGAGGATTGGAAAATAGCTTTTTATAGTACGTATAAAACGTTATTTTCTGACTAAATAATGTTCTTTTTCTTATAGTGTGTTTTTGTCTGTTATTTTCCGCCTTTGCCTACTTTTATTTGAATAGGGTATATGAAAGGATGACTTTTGATTGTTTCTTGGACCTTGGTACAAATTTTTTTTACGGGTCAAAGTTCGAGGTTAATTATCTAGGGAGGAGGAGGGAGAGGGTTAGTGTTGATAATTATGGGGGGGGGGGGAAGGTTATATATTTTTTATTATTTTGAAGTTCCTCCGTTTTCTTTCGAAATGTCATTAGTGGAAATGTTTCTGATCGTCTCAGACATTTTCTCTACTACATTTTATCCTGCCTTTGTCACCGGCCGGCCACCCTATTCTTTCCTTGGTACTGTGGGGCGTTACCCCAACCACCTAGCATTCCTGGCCGCCATCCTGCTTCCCAGCACTCTCACCCCATCCTGTCCTAGGAGCCCCAGCAACACGGCTTGTCCCAGGACGCCTCCCAGCTCGGCCTTGTGCCTCCTAGCTCACCCGAGCATATCTAGCTCATCCTAGCACCCCTAGCTCAACCTAGCTCCCCTACTAACTCGCCACCCCACCCACAGGTCGACCTAGCACTTCCACCAACTCGTCCTAGCTTCCCACCGCCCCTCCCAGCGCGTCCTAGCACTAACCCAGCTCGTCCTAGCACTAACCCAGCCCACGCACCAGAACATTCTGCCACCAGCCTCGCCCAGGTATCGTATTTTAGATGTTGCAAACAAAAATACTGGATGACGCGCTTCTCATCTTTCAAGAGCCCTCAGTGTCCGTCTCCTTCCCGGGGTCTGTCTGGCCTCCAGTCCCGTCCCCCACACACACTACAACTCTTGTTTTGAACCTCTAATCAGACAGAGATATATTGTGTGTGTTTACTGTTTAGAGAGAGAGAGAGAGAAAGAGAGTGTGTTCCTGAGCCTACTGGGGCTGTGTGTGTGTGTGTGTGTGTGTGTATGTGTGTGTGTGTGTGTGTGTGTGTGTGTGTGTGTGTGTGTGTGTGTGTGTGTGTGTGTGTGTGTGTGTGTGTGAAATACATAGCCCTCCCTCCCTCCCCTTTTGCACATCCTGCCATGCCTCCTTGTCTCGTCTGTGTTATTTACGCGTGCGCGTTTAGAATCAGTCCCTCTTATATTTTCAAGCTGTAAATTATTGCGTATCTCTCCCGCCCGCGCTTTAGAGAATACAGATATAAAACTGTTAAAACGTTCCCAATAATTTAGAATGTTTTATTGAATGGATTCTGGCAGTTAAACAAATCATTGCACACGACATATTCTTTAGATTAAAATAGGCGGTTATTAAGGTGTAAATTGTTGTTTGATGTAAAGAGCTCATGTAGAGACGATACACTGTATGTATACACGATACACTGTATGTATACAGGTGTATTGATGCGTATACTGCGGCAGCTATGTTACTTGGCTCATACTGGGGGCAGTTATGTTACTTGGCTCATACTGGGGGCAGTTATGTTACTTGGCTCATACTGGGGGCAGTTATGTTACTTGGCTCATACTGGGGGCAGTTATGTTACTTGGCTCATACTGGGGGCAGTTATGTTACTTGGCTCATACTGGGGGCAGTTATGTTACTTGGCTCATACTGGGGGCAGTTATGTTACTTGGCTCATACTGAGGCAGTTATGTTACTTGGCTCATACTGGGACAGTTATGTTACTTGGCTCATACTGAGGCAGTTATGTTACTTGGCTCATACTGGGACAGTTATGTTACTTGGCTCATACTGGGGCAGTTATGTTACTTGGCTCATACTGAGACAGTTACGTTACTTGGCTAAGCAGATATCAAGCAGGTATACTGAATCAGTTACGTTACTTGGCTCATACTGAGTCAGTTACGTTACTTGGCTCACACTGGGACAGTTATGTTACTTGGCTAAGCAGATATCAAGCAGGTATACCGAATCAGTTACGTTACTTGGCTCATACTGGGGCATGAGCATGAGTTTTCACACTGACGGAAGAGGAGGAGGAGGAGCCCAGTGTGTGTGTGTGTGCTCATCCTGGTGTGTGACGTTTCTGCCAGCCATGTTCCACACCTGGAGAAAAACAGAGCTAGGGGGCGGAATGTAGTCATAATTACTAGTTTTTATTTTACCTCGTCTCCGTGAGTCTAGTCTACGCTGTGGTGAGTTGGCTATCGTGTCATTTCAGGGAGTTGAAGGTGTGGTGGGCAGTGGTGGTGGGTTATCGCCGGCACCACAACGCTGGGAGTAATCGCACACAACATGGCCCGCTGCACGATAATACTTTCGAGAGGAGATACAGAGAGAGGGGACACGATAGCGTCTATATTGGGGAAGCGGAGGGGCAGAGGCGGGCGGCGGAGGAACAAAAGGGTGGGTGGGTGTGTTTGTGTCGGTGAGCCTCCGCGGTGGATGGCAGCTAACCCACACTGCTGTAGCTTGAGTTTCCGCCTGACACACTCACACTCGCACACACGCACACAGTGTGTGTGTGTGTGTGTGTGTGTGTGTGTGTGTGTGTGTGTGTGTGTGTGTGTGTGTGTGTGTGTGTGTGTGTGTGTGTGTGTGTGTGTGTGTTCCTAGATAATAAGCCCATGAACCTGTACACCTGTTGATTGACGGGTTGAGAGGCGGGACTAAAGAGCCAGAGCTCAACCCCCCCCCCCCCCACACACACACACACACACACACACACACACACACACACACACACACACACACACACACACACACACACACACACACACACACACACACACACACTCACTCACTCACTCACTCACTCACTCACTCACTTTTCCCTTCCTGGCGTCAGCGTTGTAATTATTGGGTCATGCTCGCGGGGTCCATGTCTGCGTGTCACCACCTCCTCGTTCTCTGGTAGTCTCGAAAATGCTCGGGCAATGATCCTGTGATGAGAAATCTTTGTATACGCTGTGATCTGTCTCATAAATCCAGAAGGATTATAAGATCTTTAGCGCAGTCAACTCAGTCCCGTATTCGATTTCCGGACAGAACGAGACAGGAAATCGTTCACCTAAAATAGGTGGCCGGGATTTAGGCTACTGTTGTGGGTTGCGTCTTGAGAAAGGTCAGTTGTTCGGCTTGCTAGGAGACCTCGCCATGGCAAAGAGGGCTCATGCCCCCGACAAAGGGAACGCATATCGCTTGGTAAAGGTGGGAGGGAGCCCGTTCATACCGTCATATCATGTTTTGTAACTTATATGGAGCCGTGACATTAACTGAGAATTAGTAGTATTTTCCCCTTGTAAATGGATGTAGATATGATCGTTATAGTACTAGACCCAATAGCTTCAACTAGCGTTAATTTTAGACAAATGAGATCGACCGAGTTTAAAAACCTGGTCAATAGGAATACATCCGCCCCCGTTTGTGTGTGTGTGTGTGTGTGTGTGTGTGTGTGTGTGTGTGTGTGTGTGTGTGTGTGTGTGATTTTTTTCTGTTCTTTAGGGTGGTGCGGAGTGAGCGCGGCAGCAGCAGCAGCAGCAGCAGGAGGGCGGCAGTGGGGTCCCAGCCTGGTGTATTGACGTGGTGTTGTCGCCATGGCATTACCTACTTGTGGGGTGCTTCTGCCAACGGCTGCTTCTCCACCACCACCACCACCACACACAGACATACACATACACACACATACACGCACGCACACACTGCCCACGCTCTCTCCTCGCCCTGCTCCCACCATGTCTCCATTACCGTACATTCACAGCGCTCGCGCTATTTGTATACATTCGATTTGCTTGAAATTCCACTTCGTTATCTAATAACCTTCCTTTTTTTTGTTTGCAGTTATATATAAAGTTACAAGGAAAAAACCCCACCACACACACACAAGAGAAAAAGAAGTTGGTTGCACTGTCCGTCTAGTGTACGACGACTGACGTGGAGAGGTTATCATAACTCTGGCGCCCCAATTGTGTATCTTCCTGGGCTGGAAGCCTCGTCATCCCGCCCGTGTTATCTCTGGCCAAATGAAGCTCACTTTGGAGAGTTGAATAGTGAAGTGGTGTTAGCCTGGCACAAGAAAAGAGATAGAGAGGCACCTGTGTTTACGTAAGAGTGATAAAAGGCCTTAGTGAGTCCACGCTTTGGTGCCAAGATGGACTGATGTGGAACGCATCGTTGCTCTGGCACTGTGATCGTTGCAATAAAACGGAAAGTTCGACGCTGAATAGTGGGAAATAATGAAGTGAATTGGAATGGAAAAAAAGAAATGTATTCGCATTGCTTTTAGTGATTTTTTTTTTTTAGTTTAACCTAAGATTGAGTGCTTATAAGAATGGAACTTATTATTCACAAGACAACGCAGCCGGATTTAACGACGCCACTACGGATATGAGAGAGGTAAGTGTAATTATTATTCGCTCTGTATATTTGCAATGTTCTTGAATTTTCAACTTGCAGTTCAGAGAGAGGGAAGGGGGTAGTGGAGAGAGATGGGGGAGCACACTGTTAACGACACAAGGGAACTTTACCTTGCAAAGTGTAGCTCTTGGTAGATTGCAAGCTTCAAGTTGTTAATGGAAGTAAAAGGTGTTATTAACACCTTAGTAGGGAGTAGCAGCGGCTGAATCATAAAGCAGCTATTTCCTAACTTAAAATTGGTTTACATTTATGGCTGTAGTGAATAGTGTAATGTTGCAATGGTGGAGTTTTACACAACGGCGGTTGTCCTCGATGCGTCAGACCTGAAGGTGGCATTATCACTGGCTGAGCGCTATTGTGCAATACTGACGGTAGAAGCAACATCAAAGTATTAAATTTGAACTGTACATCTAGCAAGAACAATATTTAGTTGCTCTCCTAGATCTCCTTGCTGGGGGAGGGGTTGAGCTTTGGCTCTTTGGTCCCGCCTCTCAACTGTCAATCAACTGGTGTGTACGTATTCTCGAGACTATTGGGCTCTTTATCAAATCTACATTTGAAACTGGGTATGGCGTGCATATGGAACGTGTGGGGCTTGGTTTAGTAGGCCTATAGTAGTTATCCACTTGTTTATTTGCCACGTTCAAGTAGGCCGTATTTAGGGTGATTGGTGTGACCAAGCAATTGTTGGTAGTGTATCTAGAATACTTTAATTAGGGCATCAGTATAGGTATAATGCTGTAATAGTAGACTTGTATAGCTGTAATAGTAGACTTGTATAGCTATAATAGACGTGTATAACTATAACAATAAAGCTGTATAGCTATGATGCTCTCATAAAGGCACCAGAATAGCTATAACGCTCTCATTGTATACCAGAATAGTTATAATGCTCTCATTGGGGTCCCAGTATAGCTATAATGCTCTCACTGGGCCCCAATTGAGGGCACCAAAATCACTAGCGAAGGCACTAGCAGCTTGAATGTTAAAAGCATATTGAACATTGCTTGAGATGTGGTATACGAGAGGGGGACTACGACGCCCAGAGAGTACAGGGTTAACACAAAGGTGGCAAGGTTAGCTGGGAAGCGGGAGGTGGTATGGTGGGTGAGAGAGAGAGTGGGGGTTTAGAACGGCTTGGGTTGGAGAGGCAGGCAGGAGTAGGTGGTGGTGGTGGCGGCGGCAGTGGCTGATGCGGGTTGCTGGGAAAAATGAGGACCGAGATGCGCACGGCCATGTTGGGTGAGGAATTTTCGGGGCCCCCCCGACACCATGATGGTTCTCGCTTGGGAAGGAGGGATGGCGGCGGCTGGGGTAGACAGCTCTTGGCGCGCCCACTCTAAAACCTGTCACACGCTAATGCTGGCATTTTTCTTGCCGTTTTTGTTTCTTAGCTATATCTTAATCTAATGTTGCTTGATATTTCCTTTCTTGGGTATAGTTTCAGCATGTTTTTTATATGTCGGGAGTACGTTTACCTAACATGTTGATTTTTGTTTCCATTTTGTAGGCGATTAACGCTCCTTGCTGAATTAAAAACTAACGTAAACACGGTTTAGCGCCATATGTGCGACGCTTGGAAGTAGTACCAAACAGCTGATGTCATCAACCGAGCCTGGACCAGTGAATACGAGGCGGCTGGTGTAGTGTGGTGTTCACCACTCCACTACCAGGCCACACTGCACTCTCCATTGTGTGTACCGAGCGAGGGTAGCCTAGCCCAGCCCTCCCACATGCTGTAGGCTACACGGTATTGTTACTGTCTGTATCGTAGGGAAGGGCAATGGTAGCCTAGCCCCTCCCACATGCTGTAGGCTACACTATTGTAGGGAAGGGCAATGGTAGCCTAGCCCCTCCCACATGCTGTAGGCTACACTATTGTAGGGAAGGGCAATGGTAGCCTAGCCCTCCCACATACTGTAGGCTACACTGCATTGTTACTGTCTGTATCGTAGGGAAGGGCAATGGTAGCCTAGCTCTCCCACATGCTGTAGGCTACATTGTATTGTTACTGTCTGTATCGTAGGGAAGGGCAAGGGTAGCCTAGCCCTCCCACATGCTGTAGGCTACACTGTATTGTTACTGTCTGTATCGTAGGGAAGGGCAATGGTAGCCTAGCCCTCCCACATGCTGTAGGCTACACTGTATTGTTACTGTCTGTATCGTAGGGAAGGGCAATGGTAGCCTAGCCCTCCCACATGCTGTAGGCTACACTATTGTTACTGTCTGTATCGTAGGCAATGGTACCCTAGCCCTCCCTCATACTGTAATCTGCAAGCACTCTGTATTATTGGTGTCCGTATCACAAGAAGTTTATCTGGCTCTCACAGTACATTCTTCACTGTGGGTAAGCTCTCACCTAGTTGCGGTGTGGTCAGCTTTGGGAGACGTGGAGATCTTTTGAGCTAACGTATTTACAAGTACACCTGTAGAGAATGATGATATGCCAGTTCCTTTCGGCATTGCAGTTTATAGCAGCATTCGTTCGGGAAAGAAATGTTGGCTTTGTTCAGAGAATTTCGGTGGGTGACATTTGACCTCTTCATTGGCATTCCATGACGCGCGCAAAAAGTGGTTGGAGGTTTGTAACAATGACATTAGGCTATTTTCACCAAGCACATTCTGTCCAAGTTGGCCAGTCCGAAGGTTAGCATATGTGATCGTAGTGAATAAGTTTTAGTCGATGTAACGAAGTGGAAAAAAGGCCATACCAGTGCAAAATCTTCTCATTTACAAGGGAAATACTACATTACATATAGTTTATATAAGTTCAAGTTAAAATACGATTATTGAAGCCATAAAATACATCTCAAAAAGATAGAGAAGCTTAGGCTATTTCTACCCTTCAAAGTTTATATAATTCTCAGTAAACCAATGTTTGATATCATCACAGAACATGTGCCTTAAACCCCAAATGTTATACTTGGTCCTGCCTCCCTAGAACTTCAATATTTTATCAACTGAGTAACTCTCCCACCGGCTTATCCACACACAAAATGTAAGCAGAAAGCAGCATAATTGTTGTATTCTTAATGTAATTGCTTTTTATGTCAATATGAAAGATTATAGTGAGTGAGTTTAACCCGATATGCTTACAGCATATCATCAGTCTGATGACATGCTAACCAGATATGCTTTAGCGTCTAAGCTCCGCAAATGTAGTGACTCTTCCTGCATGCAAATCATATTTGTTAGACATTTTTTGTACATGTCGCTTCAACATCTTTTAACCCGTTCACTACATTTACAACATACCCTACCTTGAGGTGCTTCCCGGGCTTAGCGTCCCCGCGGCCCGGTCGTCGACCAGGCCTCCTCCCTAAACAAGACAGGCCTCCTAAGCAAGACACTTTGCATTATACTTGTATGCCTTTCAAATTTCCATTGATGCCCTCTCTCTATATTTCTGTTTTTTTTCGCTAGATTATTGTACGGTTATCATGGTTATCTTGAGTTATCTTGAGTCCTGAGTTATCATGGCCCTCAGCCTCCTGTTCTGCAGCAGAGGCTAATGAGATTTAGTCTTTTGAGTCATTTTAGGTCATTCCACTCAGTTCAGAGAGCAGCTTTGCTACAGTTGTTTGCTGCTGTTTTACAATCAGCTGCTCGGAACGAAAAGTTGCAAGTAGCACAGGCTATGGCGAGCCCGTAGTGGACTTATCTGGCACAGAAGCGGGGCTGTAACTTGCTTACTACAAATCTCTCCACCTATTCAAGCTCGTATTGTTTCTTCAGGTGGGGACTCTATATCGTGTGTGTGTGTGTGTGTGTGTGTGTGTGTGTGTGTGTGTGTGTGTGTGTGTGTGTGTGTGTGTGTGTGTGTGTGTGTGTGTGTGTGTGTGTAGGTGTGTGTTTTCTATTTGTACCTGCAGGATCGAGCTGTTAGCTCGTGGACCCCGCCTTTCTAACAGTCGGTTGACTGTTCATTTAATTGTGTTTGGGAAAGTTGAGCTGCGGCTCTTTGCTCCCGCCTCTCAACCGTCAATCAACTGGTGTACAGGTTTCTGAGCGTATTGGGCTCTATCCTATCAACATTTGAAAATGTGCATGGAGTCCGCTTCCACCCCATCACTGCCTTGTGTGTGTGTGTGTGTGTGTGTGTGTGTGTGTGTGTGTGTGTGTGTGTGTGTGTGTGTGTGTGTGTGTGTGTGTGTGTGTGTGTGTTTTCGAGCGTGCGCTGTAAGCTCCATGTGAGTGTTGTGAGTCATGGTGCGTGGGTTTCGTTAGGTGTGGAGAGCTGGGGCTGGTTTCACCTTTCCTGTTTATGCTCTAAAGTTGATATTAACGCGTCGGATTACCATTTTTGGCCTAGGTACCACGATCCTTGTGTCCAACACCTGTCTCTCTCTCACACACACACACACACACACACACACACACACACACACACACACACACACACACACACACACACACACACACATCTAGAGAGAAAGATCTAGGAGTTGATATCACACCAAACCTGTCTCCTGAAGCCCACATAAAGAGAATAACGTCTGCGGCATATGCGAGGCTGGCTAACATCAGAACGGCGTTCAGGAACCTGTGTAAGGAATCATTCAGAATCTTGTACACCACATATGTAAGACCAATCCTGGAGTATGCGGCCCCAGCATGGAGCCCGTACCTTGTCAAGCACAAGACGAAGCTGGAAAAAGTCCAAAGGTATGCTACTAGACTAGTCCCAGAACTAAGAGGCATGAGTTATGAGGAAAGGCTGCGGGAAATGCACCTCACGACACTGGAAGACAGAAGAGTAAGGGGGGACATGATCACAACCTACAAAATCCTCAGGGGAATCGACCGGGTAAACAAGGACGAACTTTTCAACACTGGTGGGACGCGAACAAGGGGACACAGGTGGAAGCTGAGTACCCAAATGAGCCACAGAGACGTTAGAAAGAACTTTTTCAGTGTCAGAGTAGTTAGCAAATGGAATGCATTAGGAAGTGATGTGGTGGAGGCTGACTCCATTCACA